TCCCAAGTATGTTAGATGGAGCCTCAGAACCCTTGCCTCCAAGGAGCCACCCGGTTTAGCCCTTTCCAGGATGAATCTGTTTTCCTAGCAGTCCATGGTACTCTCATTACTCTTCTCCAGCACCACAGCTCAAAGGTATCAATTCTCCTTCTATCCTCCTTGGTCATTGATCAACTCTCTGATGCATAACAGGTGACTGCAAAGACCATGGTCTATATCAGACGCACCTTAGTCTCCAGAGAGACACCATTGCTCTTCTGTACTTTGGAGAGCTCCCTAACAGCAGACTTTCCCATCGCAATATGTCTTTTAATTTCCTGGCTACTGGTGCCAAGAGTGTTGACTGTGGAGCCAAACAAACTGAAGCTGTGAACAATCTCAACATCTTCACCATCCATCCTGATGCTGCTAATTGGTCCAGTGGTGAGAATCTTTGTCTTCTTGACATTGAGCCTCCATCCATATTGGAGGCTGCAGACCTTGACCCTCTGCAGCAAGTGCTTCAGGTCCTCCTCAGTTTCAGCAAGCAGGGTTGTGTCATCTACATAATGCAGATTGTTGCTAGCTCTTCCACCAATCTTGACCCCACATTTCTCTTCATAGAGCCCAGCCTCCCGCGGATAATCTGTTCTGCATACAAGTTGAAAAGATATAGAGATAGGACACATCCTTGGCGTATGCCCTTCCCAATTTTGAACCATGCAGTGTTTCCTTGCTCTCTTCTGACAACTGCCTCCTGGTCCAAGTATAGGTTTCTCATTAGCACAATCGAGCATTCTGGGATTCTTCTCAGAGTCAGCCACAGTTTGTTGTGATCCACACAGTCAAATGCCTCTGTATAGTCAATGAAACACAGATATACATTTCTCTGGTACTCCCTGCTTTCAGCTAAGATCCATCTAACATCAGCTACAATATCCCTAGTACCAAGACCCCTTCTAAACCCAGTCTGGACTTCTGGCAGTTCTCTGCTGATGTGCTGTTCCAGTCGTTTTTGGATAATCTTCAGTAGAATCTTGCTTGCATGTGAAATAAATCATATTGTTCTGTAGTTTCCACTCTGTTGGGTCACCTTTCTTTGGAATGGGAACAAATATAGATCTCGTCCACTCAGTTGGCCAAGTGGTTGTTCTCCAGATTTCTTGGCACAACTTGGTGAGCACATCCAGGGCAGCATCTGTTAGCTGAAACATGTCAATTCTATCTTAGCTTTCTTAGAAGACAGAGTAGAAATACTCCATGAGGATTCTAAGACTGGCTGTAAATCTTTATGAATTTCAGCCTCTTTTTTCCTATTGAGTGCTAATGGGTTTGAACTGCCAACTTTTTTGTTTGGTGGCCTATAGCTTAATATGTGTCACGAATGTAATAATTTATATAATCTGGAGGAAAAGCCCTGCACTTAAGCCATTAGGAGGACAGGACCTAGGACAGCTTCAGAGAATTTATCTCATGGAGAAACAAATGAGGAGTGTATCCAGAGCCCCAGAGTGTCAGGGTTAATCAGCCTATGTTTTCAGAAAGGAGTGTGGTGGCTTAGTGGTAAGGAGTTACGCTGCCAACACAAAGGCATGTGGTTCGACTTCAGCACCAGCTTGTCTGAGGGGAAAAGATAGGCAATCTTCCTTCCGTGTGATTTACAGTCTCTGAAAACTTGCTGGAGGGTCAACTATGAGTCAGTTACAACCCAATGGTGAGTAACAACAACGTTTTTAGTGCAGAGTATTTGATACATCTCTCTTGAGTCCTATACTATTCTCTTGACCTGGGCACAGCATACGGGCTCGCTAAGTTTGTATACAAGAAGCTGAGGCCATTATTGGCCCCCAAAAGTAGAAGGCATGCTGGACAGGGAAAATACTGCATATCCACTTCACCAAGATAGATGCTATCTTCTGCTGCCCAAGCCAAAAACCAAGTAAAGATCCTGGATGAGATGGATTGACTCAGTGACTTGGGTAATGGGGATAGGTGTGTCAGGAGAGGGCAAGGTTCCAAGCTATTGTACATAGGGTCACTGTGAGTTGTAAGTGACTCAACAACACATAAACAACACCATGTATTCACTGTGTCTTTCTTTGCTACGGGAAACCTTATGTTCTCAATCTGTCTTATCGTCACTCAATGCTGACAAAATCTGCTAAACACGTTGCCACTGAGTAAAATTTGACTCCTCGTGATCCTGTTGGATGGAATGGAGCTGCCCTATAATAGGGTTTCATAGGCTGTACTAGTCATGGCCAGTGAATGCTACAGCTATCTCTCTTGGTGAAGCTGATGAGGTCAAACAGCTCACCTTTTGTGAGCTTCTGAGCCGTACCGCTAGGATTTCTTCAGTGACCACTCTAATTCTGTTACATATTCACTGCCTTTTGTTTTAAAACAATTACAGCATGTCATTGCCTTCAGGTCAGAACTGACTTGCAGCCGACCCTCCCAAAAGGTTTCCAGATGCTGTAAATCACACAGGTGGAAATTGTTCATCTTTTTTCCTGGGAGCAACGGTTGGATTCAAGCTACTTGTCTTTGGGTTGGCAGCACAACTTCTTACCAACTAGGCTACCACAGGTTTTTGAATCTTATTCTTCATAATTTGTTATTTTGCCTACATTTATAGACCTCCCCACCATCTGACCTATCCCCGGAGTGGCTTCTTGTTGACTGTGTTGAGGTTTTTGAATGATTTTTGGAATAGTGATTTAATTTAGATTGAAAAATTGCTATACCATTAGGTTAAAAAAATTTAAATGCCTTTTTTTTTTACTGTGTTCACGAGTATAAGTTATCTCAGTATGAAAATACAATTTAACTGTATATCTTTCTATTTTTAGAGACGACATGGTTGTGGGATGGTGGGGAGAAGAAAGGGAAGATTATGGTTAGAAAGCCTTTGGCTTTTTTTTTTTTATTTTTTAAAACCAAAGAAGCTTTATTAAGGAGTCTCCTGGGCAGGATTCCTTGGTCTGCAGAGAGAGAAACAGGCAGAAGGACAGACCAGGGAAATACGGAGCCCTAAGGTGGATTAAGGCACATTTTATAGTGAGGGTCTTTAGGGAGGGAAGGAAGGGACAAAGGGACATTCCATTGTGGTTGATCTTCTAGGGAGGGAAGGAAGGGGCACTTCATGGTAGTTGAGGCTGTTTACTCCCTTTGTTGACATGTTGATATTCCTTGAATCCATTGTTCTCCCTTTGACATTGGTCTGGCCTGATATCCCAGCCTCTTTAGTGAGAAAAAGGGTGAGGTATTCTTTCTGGCTACTTCCTGCTGAAGAGGGGTGAAGATCTTGGGCTCAGAGGGAGGACCAGTAGCCAGGGGAGAATATGGATGTCACAGCAGCTGTTTCAAGTTGGTCATCATTTTTTAAATCCTGCTACTTGAGAGGTTACCCTGGCCTCTGCAATGGTGTTGGGGATTGTTGAACCTGGGCATCTTCAATGTTCAGCGGCCAGGCCTAAGAGGTTGGCCAGGATGGGGTCTGGGTTTGGTGGAGGGGATACCCTACTGCAGCTAGGTGCAAAAGGGCGTTCGACCTTCCAATGGCCTAGTGTCCCACAGATAGGGCTGAGTTGGAGGGCAAGAGTCAGGGCAGCAATTACTTTGGCCTTTCTTGTGTGCTGCTAAAATAACCCTTCCAAAAAGGAAGCACGTTAGTGAGTCTCTGTGCATAAGAGCTGCATGGATATCAAAGAGACATATTTCTGTGAGAAATCAGAATAAATGGTTTGTAGAAATCTATGGATTAGGGAAATGAATGAAGTCTGAAGATGTGGCACCAGGGTAGATCTTATAGAAGTAGAGAACTAGCTGATAAAGGAATTTAGAGATAAATTCACATGCTGGAGTAAGCAAAGGATTCAAACACGGCCAATTGCTATTGAGTAGATTCCAGCTTAAGGCAACTCTGGATATCAGAGTAGAACTGTGCGCTGAAGAATTTCTATTGACTGATTTTTCAAGAGTGGATTGTCAGGTCTTTCTTCTGAGATGCCTGTGGGTGAAGTTGAACCTTTAACCCTTGGGTTAAATTCATAACACATTGACTGTTTCCATCCCGTAGAAACACCACAGAATTGGGTGCCATAGAATTGGAAGATTAGAAATAGTGTCCTATTTCAATGTGATTTGATTTTATTGCCCTTGGGCAGTGTAAGCCCTACCATTGATGGGAATCTTCAGTGACGTCTGCATTCTCACAAAGCCTTTTGAGAATTTGGAAAAAATTAGGAAAAGATCAGGCCCATGCCTGAGTTTGCTTGGGACAGAGGAAGAGGAACACAGAGAGAGTAGCTGTGGCAAGTGAGTTGCGGTGAAATCAGGTTAAGGGACAGAAAGCTGGAGTAAGAAGTGCCTATAAAAATGCAAGTCTATGGGGATTTACTGGATTCTTGTGGGAGAAATGAACTTTCCAGAAGACTCACAGGTTTTGGGCTAAAAATGATTTCTGTCTCAAAGGATAAGGGAACTTAATATAAATTTGGACTATGCTGATAACTTGATATAACTTTGTTATATTAGCTATAACAATTTACATTTGCTATAATGTAACTTAATATAACCTTGGACATTGAATGTCTGCTTCCCCCCACATGGCCATGTGGTGAGGTTCAAATCAAGATCCCAAAATAATGTCGTGAGATTATTTGTTCTTGTTTTAGTTTTATATTCACTATTTAGCAATGCTAAAATATCTTTCATAACTACAGAAAGAGCTCCCAAACATGAAGCCATCCCAAAATGGAATGAAAATGTTGTGTTTCTTTAACATTCATTGAAGTCTACCAAGTTGCTGATGAGAGCTTAGGTGAGTAAGACACAGTTGTCTGATAGAGTTTGTACTGGGGGAGAGGCGAGAGTAAGGAGAGAGACATGCAAATTCAACCATAGTGCAAGGAAAGATGCAGCAAATAACCAATGGTATGTAAGGCAGAGTGTTAATTCTGGTTGTAAACCAATAGTGTAGAATCCAGCTGTTGAATGGATCTTCTTCCTGAAGTTTTTCATGGATATTTTAATTCAGGTCTTTTTCCTGTAAAGGAGCAAAATAAGAACATCAGACTATAGAACACATGGAATAGAACTATATGTATACATTATCATTTATGCAGCCCAAATTTCTGTGTCTAGGACAAAGGTTGTAAGGACAACCTCCAAAGACTAAGAAGGTAGTATTTCATAGTAGTTATGAGTGTGAGCCTGGAGGTCAGACATTTTCATATGAATTTATACTAATTGCTAATTTATTGTTTCTCTGACCTTGGGTAGATGACCTTCTCTATGTTTCAGATTATCCACCTGTAAAATGAGATAATAACGTTTCCTTGTGTAGTTGTTCATTTGTAAGAGACATTGGCTATGCTGTAAGTATTTGATGTATTTTAGGTAGTATTTTTATTATTCTGTAAAGAATAGGCAATAATCTTACTGTAAATGTCTATCTGTTTAATGATTCTTTTGAATCTGTGTTTTCTGTTCCAACTTACTTCTTGGATTAATGAACTCCTTACATTTACAATCAATATACATATATAGTTTTTTCCCTCTCAGTGGTTACCTCTTTTCAAATTTTAGTTTGGACACTTCTTTGTTCTAATACTTAAGGATATGATGTCCCAGTTGGTAATCTTCTGTTAAATGTAATCAGTTTATGTCAGAATATTCTGTATTTATATATTTTCTTAAATAAAATTTTTATTTTATACTGGTTTACTTACAATGTTTGTATACCTTTTTTTCCACATATTTATTTTATATTTTTATAAGGTTCTAGAATAGTTATAGAATGTCAGAAAGTGTTCCATGAGTTGTATTTTCTACTTTGCTTGTGACAACCCAACTGATACTACTTTTTTACTATACCGGTTTATTGAAACTTTAGTGGGTATTTATGTAGCATTTTCCAAAGTATGGTCTCTGAAATGCTATTCTATGATGTCTCAAAAAGTATTCCGTAAAATGAATTTTAATTTAGGAAATACTGAATTACACATTACTTGTGCCAAAGCCATATCAAACCTACTGCTGTTGAGTCAATTCCAACTCATAGTGACCCTTCATTGGCTTTCTTAGGCAATAGTTTTTTGTGTTTTTTTTTAAAACAACTTATCAAAATGTCTTAGACATAATTCTTTTTCAGTTTGTGGAGATTGGTTTAGTTTTTCTCTTGTATGATTTCTTCTCTGCCCCCCATTCTTTCCAATCTCTCAATTTTAGATCAATAATATTGTTGTTGTTGATTGCATGACTGATAGTGACCTCATGAACAAAAGACCTGAATCCTTTCTATAACTATTGTCATTTCTTTATAGAGTTTCCAGAGGCATGTGGTTTATGAAGTGGACGCCACTCTTGCTTCCAAACCTGTTTTTGATTGGGAGCTCCACTAAACACTGTCCACCAGTGTTTATAGACAGCCATTATGGCATTTGACCCCCTAATGGCACAAGGTTCAGCATCACAGCAAAACCAGATTACCTCAGTGCAGCAAATTGACAGAGGTGTGCTGTACAACTTAGAAGAATGTTCCTTCAAAATAAAATAATACTAGACCCTCGGGCCCAATTGACTTTTAAATACAAGGACTCTCTCTCTCTCTCTGTATACACATACACATACACACACACACACACACACACACGGCCTGAAGCCTTTCTATAACTATCATCATTCTCCAAGTTCATAAAGTTTCCAGAGGCATGTGATCAAAATTAGAGATAAAAATACTAGAGATGTAGTTTCTCTCTCCCTTTCTCTCTTTTTAAAATGTATAAAATATCTATCATCTATTTTTTTTCCAAGTCTTTTATCTTCCTTTACTGGGGGGAGGGGACATTTCCAGACACAGAGTTGAAAGAATCTTACAAATACAACAGCCCGCTCTCCTGGGATGCTCCAGCACAGTCCTATCTTCAGATATTTCAGTTGATTGACTCAAAGCTCCAAATTCATTGCCGTCAAGTTGGAATCAATCCACAGCTGAGCTTCCATTGAGTTTCTGAGGCTTGTATTTTTCATAATGATGTGTGGCTTCAGCAGCCAGAATGGAAGCTTCTTTTGATGTCAAGTTCTCCAGAGTGAAAATGTTGCTGTTCAAATGTTTACAAAGCCACATTGCTAGTTGTTTTCCCCGAGGAAGGTGAACCTAATATTATAATCTTTGATACATTATCACTGTTACCCCTGCAAGTGGCAGATCATGAAGGGGATGGGTTCCCTGAGCTGGTAAATCAGAAGATGCTCCTGCATCATTTCGAAGATGTGGTTCCTCTCCTCTTACTTGGGCATTTCCAGGGGGCATGTGGGTGGAGGGGCTAGATGCGGTGCAGGGCCATAGCAGCATCCATAGAGCATGCAGAGTGCCTATCATCTATTTTTATGTACTTTTGAAAACATTTATTTTATTTTTGTTCTTTACTTCTCTTTGGTTTGGTTTGATTCCGCTATCCCTCTATCCTCATCTCTCTAAATCCTCCAAGACTGATTCTTTCTATGTGTAAACCATGTATTGATTTTTAAGAACAGCATTGGTCTTATATCATAATTGTTCTTATGTGACTGACTTATGTCGCCAAGCATAATAAGTGCTATTTCCATCTATTGTGTGCACTATTTCGTTAATTATTGGTTATTTTTTAGTGATGTATACGACTTCATTGTATGAATGTACCACAATTTCTTTAGCCATTCTTCTGTTCATGGGCACTTGAGTTATTTTATTTTCAACTCTTAGCTATTATTAATAGTACTGCACTCCACATGGATGTGGACATATTTGTTTGTGTCATAGGTCTTATGTCTTTAGGATATATACCTAAAAGTGAGATTGCTGAGTCAAATGGTATTTCTAGTCTCAACTTTTCAAGGAGTACAGAACTTCTTTCTATTGTAGTTGCATTGTTTTGAGGCTATAAATCTTTAAATAAAGAGACTATCCATCTTTCTCTCGAAGAGTTTCCAGTGGACTTGAATGTTAGCAGTCTAACATCTAAGGCACTGTGGCACTGGACTCCTTCATGTTTGTTCAGTAAGTTTTAACATCCATGTGTCTAAAAGACAGTAGGTAGTGTTTCTTGAATTTACTTCAAAACATCTTTTTTTTTTTTAGATAAATTTGTGGGGTTCATGTTCTGGGAAACACAGATAAGAAATGCTGACTCATAATTCTAAATGCTGATTTATCAATTCTAAATTCAACTAAGGGAGCTCTAGTGATTAATAGTTTAGCTACATTAGCTTATTGAAGTAATTCCCTTTAGGAACATTCTTTTATGGAAACAGTTTTCTTGCTTTGCTGATAATTCTAAGACTATTTTGTAATTTTTTTATTACAGTGTGTTATTATCACTCCGCTATTTTTCTGGAAACATTTAATTTAATTAATTTTTAAAGTAATTAAAGGTACCATTCTGTATTCTCCTTCCTCCTTTTAAAAACTTAGTAATGACCAGCAGATATATGCAGTATGAAGACTATGATTTCATGTGTGGCTCAAGAACTCGACATACATGTAATCTTGGACAATTCATTCAGTTACTTTAACATTTCTTTATGCAGAAACATGAATTTTTATCCTTGTAATTTGTTACAATTTTCACTTTGCTATTTTTTATTTCTGACAGATTGATCAGGAAATTAACTTTTATTTTGCATAGAATGGGCGCATAGGATAATAGGTCTGCTCATAAATTTCATGATTAGCAACTGTAAGCAACTATTGTCCATGGTTAACTTATCCCCCAAATAGAAATGTAAGCAGGAAAAGTTGGATGGTTTTCAGTCACGTAGGGTCAAATTCTTTTGAGTAGGTAGCTAAGAAGGAAGATGCTACATTCCTCTAATTCACTGTGTAGTGGAGATTCTGCTGGATTATTTGGGCAGAACAAGAAGTTAAAATGAGTAGGATGTTTGGGAAAAAAAGACATTTTTATAGTTCTACCAAATGACAATATATTTTTGAAAATTTAAAATTAGTATTGTCATATGATAGCTGACCCTCCAGTGGGTTTCTGAAGCTGTGAAACACACAGGAGAAAACTGCTTATCTTTCTCCTATGGAGCAATTGGTGGATTTAAACACATGCATGGCCTGTGGGTTAGCAGTACAATGCTCTAAATACTATACCATCGAGTTTCCTTAGTTATTAATGGGCTTGAGCATATCAGAAATTTTGAGAATGGCTCAGGATAGGGCAAGGTTTAGATCTGTTCATAACATCACTGTGAGTTGTAATTGACTCAACAGTACCAAAAACAACAAAGTAACAACAATAACAAGGTCTTAATTTTCCCCTTCCATAGGGTTTGGGAGGGAGCTCTGGTGACCTAGTGGTAAGAAGCTGCTCTGCAATCCTGAAGGCACATGGTTTGAATCCATCAGCTGCTCTGGAGGAGAAGGATGGGCAAATGTTCTGAAAGCCCACTGGAGAGTCAGCTGTGGATCAGTTCTGACTCAATGGAACACAACAACAATAGGCTTTAAGATTTAAGTTCCAATATATTTTTCTAGGTAAGGAGCTATTCTCCATTCTTTCTCTTCCAAGACCACTTCTGAGGAGATAAAGTAAAATCCCCTGATTTAAACTTAAGAAAGCAATGAACTCGTAAAATATTATGACAATATGGAAGACATTATGCTGAGAGAAATGTCTTACAAAAGGACACATACTACATAACACTGCTGTTATAAAGGACTGACATGAGGGGTTGAGGGAGAATAGGAAAAGAGTGGCTAGATAATGAACACTGTGTTGGAACAGATGAGGGAAAGAACTATTTAAAAGGAATATATGATTAAGTATTACATGTATGACAACAATCTAGAATGAGAGGTGCAAAGTAGGCTGGGGGAGGGTAAATGGGGAGGAAAATGTGCAACAATGAATGAATTTTTAAAAATAAAATTTATTAAATTAAAAAAATACCGTATAATTTCTGAATGCTTTCGATATCATCCTTTGAAAGTCCGAAATCCTTCATATCTCCTTCTTTGTACGTTGGATACATCACAGCGTTAGGATCAGATGAATGGCTCAGTCCCAAAGAATGGCCAAGTTCATGGGTGGCAACAAACAGGAAATTAGTTCCTACAACAGAAACAGCAGGAACCCTTAACTATAAGCGTACCTAGCTCCTTACTGCGTACCTAGCTCCTTACTCGTACTTCCCCTATTTGTTCCTAGACTTTCAAAGGGGTGGGAAGGAGAACAAGAAGAGTAGTATCTTAATCTCATTACCATTTTTGCTTTTCAAAAAGAATGTCACATTTCCCTTCCTATTTACTTCTTGCATAATTAACCAGACAGCAATGATCTGTAGAGAAAAAACAAGCTTTAGAGATATTAATGTATACCTTTGAGACCCACGATCTATCTCTTCCTAAGCCTGGCACACTTGCAGCACTGGACAAATGCATTGATGCTGAGTTTCAGTTCTCCGCCTGTTAAACTGAGATAATACCCCCACCTCCATCATGCTGATTTATCATAATAAATAGTTTTGCTCAGTATCTGGAAAATAAAGGCTATTCAATAAATTATAGTGACTTTGAATATGAAGAGAGACTAAATTGACTTTGAAAAGCTGAGTGAGAGGGAGGATTTCCAGGCAAAGTTTAGTTTTTTTATTATTATTCCCCACATCATTTAATTACTGATCTCCTTTTCTGTCCTGTGAATTCAAAGAAAAGCTTTGCAAATAAGGGGAACTTATATTTGAATCCAAGCAGTGGCCAGAGCTCCAACTGTGTTAGAATCAAGGAGACTACCTTAGCTTATCTGAAGTAGGAATGAAAAAAATTATGAGATGTGCAAGATAAGAAAGAAAGATAACCTCACAATATTATGTAGATTAGATTTTTAAACTCACTATTCTATTTGGATTTTGGTGTGTCTCCATTGTAAACACAAGTTACATCTTTCCTTTTAGGTTTAATGAATAGCTATTTTTTTTTAAACTGGTCTCCAAGAAGAGTTATTTATGCCATCTCATAGCTCTATCCCATTAGTTCTCAGGTGCATCTATAATCTCCTCTTTTCTAATGGAGTGAATGTGATGGTGTAGGTCATGGGACTGGTTATTTTTTCTCCTCTACCCATTCTTGCCCCTCTACTCTCACCCCTTTCCCCCTTGAACCCTCATACACATTTACCAATTACCTTCTATTTTTATAATAATGGTCTTATTCAGTATTTGTCCTTTTGATGGGGTTGTTTCTTTTTGACCTAAACAGTAGTAAGTAAGCCCACGATTGACTATAATGTTTAAAAATTATAGACACACAGAGATACAAAGTTTGCTATTGAAACTATTTTAAATGTACAATTCAGTGGCTAATGATATTAGGTATATTAGGTATATTCACAATGTGAATATACTTAATAACAGCCACCACTATTAAATTTTTAAATATCATAGTTCATAGTCTCAGCTCCTTTTTATTTACCATTTGAAAAATTCATTTTTGGGAAATGTAAAGCATGGGCTGGTTTATTGAATGATTAATATATTCCAAGCACTGTGCTATGTATAGTCTCAGTGCCACTGAGTGAAAACTGATTCATAATTAACCCTCCCATGGGTTTTCAGAGACTGTAATTCACTTAGAGAAGATTTCCTATCTTTCTGCACAAGAGCGCTGGTGGATCCAAACCACAGAGGTGAACACACAGCCTTTGAGTTATCAGCCCACCCAACTCTCTAGGAACTATGCCAGCAGAACTCCTTAAGCATTATCTAATTTAAAGACTAAATATACCCCTTATATAAACCTTGCTTCTGAAAAGTGAAGACGACTTGAAGTGGTTGCTGCAGAAGATTAAAGCCTGCAACCTTCAGTCCGGATTGCGTCTCAAGATCAAGAAAACAAAAATCCTCACCACTGGGCCAATAGGCAACATCAAAATAAGTAGAGAAAAGATTGAAGTTGTCAACAATTTCACCTAACTTGTATCCACAACCAACACCTTGGTACCAGCAGACAAGAAATAAAAAAACAAATTGCTTAGGGAAAATCTGCTGTCAGGGACTTCTCCAGAATACTAAAGAGCCATGATGTTGATTTGAGGACTAAGCTGCTGAGCCATGGCCTTTTCAACTACTTAATCTTTTTCTGAAAGCTAGAAAGTTAATAAGGATGACAGCAGAAGAATTGATGCCTTTGCATAGTGGTTCTGGAGAAGAGTATGGAATATCCCAGACGACCAATAGAACAAACAGACTTGTCCTGGGGAGAGTGAAACCGGGATGCTTCTTGGAGGCAAGGAGGGTAAAACTCCATCTCATACTAAACTTTGGAAATGTTGTGAGCAGGGGCTCGTCTTAGTAGAAGGACATTATGCTTGGAAAGAAGGAAGGTCAGTGTAGGAGAGGAGTAACTTCAATGAGGTACATTGACATGGTGATTGTAACAAAGAGCCCAAGTGTTTCTGGGTTGGTGAGACTGGTGCTAGGTAGGGTCATAACAACAACATACATAAGTGATGAAACTGAGGCTCAGATAAGTTATAAAACTTGCATAAGGACACACAGTGATTGCCAAAACTTTCAAAGTCTGTTGTCAGCCTAGGTAGAACCAACTCATAGCAGAGCCTCCATTGTTTCTGATGCTGTAAATTACACAAGAGGAAGCTACCCATTTTTCTCCTTTAGAACTGCTGGTAAACCACTAGAAAAGGGAGTAATGGCCTTTAGGCTAACAGTACCACTACATTCAGACCATACCATAAGAGCTTTCTAGTAAATCATAGAGATTAAAAAAATAAATTGAACCTGCTAGTGTTTGATGCTATACCCTGAGCTTCCATCTCCTGTAATATTATATGAAATAAGGTAATACATTGAAAGCATATAGTATGGAAGTTGGATCTTAGCAAGGGCTTAATCAATGCTTTAAATAAAAACAATTCAAAAAGGGAAGGTAATTTTAGATGTTTGGAATTGAAAAACCATATAGTACAAGATGTGTAGGATACTGTACCAGTAGAGCTGTCATTAGTCCAGTATTCATCGGCATCAAAGTGAACATCTCCTCCTAGACCTTCCCCAGGGAAAAAAGCATGAGCTAGTGTATTTCCAGGCCCATCGAAAGGGTACGCGTCCCCATGAACTGAAAGAAAATAGAGTGATTGTCCTTAGTGGGTGAATTGAACTCTAGTTGCTTTATGTTTTGGGGGATAAAAGATTATCAAGGCTAGAAAGAAATCCAGTCTGAGTTGGCTGCATTGTAGTTACAGTCAGTCAGTTGCCCACATACGGTGGACTAGGTGTTTATCCTGAACAATGTGTCACACTCTTCTTTTCCAAGACCCATTAATCCTCATTTATAACTATCATAAATTGAAGACTTATTAAATACACATCTTTAAGAACATTCACATCTAACATAAGGCGGAGTTCAATGTTTATAACACCAGATGGTGAGTTGAGGAAGACTGAGTGTGAGTACTATATTTAACAGGTAACTTGTATACCATTTAGTAAAATTTTTTTTTAAAAAATCTAGTTTATTATTTGCAGCATAGTATGCAGTGTTTCTGAGAATACTTGTCTAGGTTCCTTACAATGAATTTATTTATTTATTTAATTTGGTGTACCATCAAATTGAATCCAACTGGCACAGGAGGAGTTTGCCCCACCCCAGGGGAGCATCTGTTGGATCTGAACGACAATGACTTCTTTTTTTCTTTTTCTTTTAATTAATTTTAATGAAAGTTTACAGAGACTTTGAATTACCATTCATTCATTGTTGCACTTTTCTCCCTGCCCAACCTCCCCCTAATTTGCTCTTCTCTTTGAAAGTAAAAGGAAACTTCTTTCATTGTTATACAATCCCTCTCCTCCATGTCCACTGCCTATACAGCCATTGTTTTGGATTCCTGTCATGACAATAATACCTAATTATATATCCCTTTTAAACAGTTCTCTCCCTCATCTGTTTCAATGAAGTATACATAATTAAACCCATCTTTCTCAGTCTACCCCCCAAATCCTGATGTCTGCCTCATTTTACAACAGTGACACTATACAGTATTTGTCCTTTTGTGACTGAGATATTTAACCCAGCATAATGTCCTCCGGGGTCACTCATTTTGTATAATATGTCATGAGTCCATTGTTTTCTAATGCAGCATAGTATTCCATTGTGTGAATATACCACAGCTAATGAATTTTAGTTGGAAAACATGGACTCGGTGACAGAAATGGAGCTGGAGAGAGAATGAATTTTGCACAATCAAGGACTTATTCATAGCAAATACGTTTCTTAAGAGACATAAACACAGGTTA